GCGCATATTTTTTATTTTTTTATTGTATTTTTAGGCAAAGGTTAATGTTGCTCTAAATTTGTGGAAGATCACAGCAAAAATATTTTTGAGTTGCCGTCTTTTTAATTTTAATTTTATATTTGCACAACGGTTTAAGACAACTTATATTAAATATCATTTCTAAACTAGTGAAATAAGTGAAACAAGTGAAATAAGTGTAATCTCGAAGGGCGAATCACAGAAGTTTAATGCAGCCCTAGAAAACGGAAGGAAGAAAAATTGCGCCTGTATAAGAGAAATGATCCATAAAATTATCCTTAGAGGTTAATAGTGACACTTTCCTTTTGCGATTACTGTCAATTTATACAATACCATTGCTTTCGTGTTGGGAAAACGTTATCTGCTGAGACCGATCAAGTGGCTTCTTCGTAGGGTCGAACGAAACAGAAGCAATAAACAGATTTGAATTCAATACGACCGGTTATTAAGTACCCTATTAGTGTCGTGTGGTTACCGGAGACTAAACTTATTATCAATCCACTGATTAATAATATGAATGAAATAAAGATAGTTATAGTAAAATAAAATTGGTGTGGTTGTTGATGTTTGTCTGAGCAGTAACAAGCTGAAAATAAAAAATTCCTTCCTTGGCTGGGGAATCGAACCCGGTGCTTGTTGACAAGGTATGATTTTTTTTCTACCGATTAAAAATGTAATGCGACATGCTAAAGATAAAACGAAAAAATATGTGAATATGTACTAAAATTGACACTTTAATATAGTCGCAGTGACTTCATATTCCGTAGGTAGGTTTTATAATAGCGACTATGCTGATCCGCTACGAGTATGCTTGCATCTACGTTACGGAGAGAGATGCTACAATGGTAAGATACTTCCATTCTTGCCCAGTATCGATTCGGATAAGTAATGAATTCAGCATTGCTATTGCTTTGCTAGTTCACCTCGAATTCCGCGATGTGATATAAAATAAAAACACGAATTTTAATAAAATACATATCTCACCGGTGAATTCTGTGGTGAAAGTGAGTTTGTTCTTACAGAATAGCACTCCAGTTATTGACAAAGATATCAACAATAAGCACATTAAAATCATACGAAACTTCGGTTAATGACGTAGAGAGTCCGTATTATATTGTTAATGTGATTACTACTTATTATTATTTTCTAAAGTAAGAAAAGTTACCGTTAGCTTAAACAATTAATTAATCAATTTGACAACAATGCTTGATCTTAAAACACGACGGAACACGAGCGTGGGAACCACGAAAAGTCTACCTTTTTCTCCACTCCAACATAAATGCGGTAAGAGATAGCAGAATGATTAATTGCGTAGTGATTTATAGGCCTAACGTTATACCTATACTCGCGTAAACCATGCAATATAATATATTAGCATTATTTATCGCAGCTGTTCCATTAAAGGTTTCGCATGAACGACACATTCGGACTTTGACGTGGGTGCGACAACGGTGGGTGCCACCGTATGCCGTGTGGAAAATAACAGTCGACGTTATTGGTGGAGCTAAATAAATATTTACGAGGAAAGTCACTTGTAAACTATAAGTACTTACCTATAGACAAGTTCGTATGTAAATATTTTCGGACTATGAGGTATTTGAGTACGTATTTAACATTTCCCTCCCTTTTTGTAGAACAATTATTGTGACAACGTACCTGGAAGTTGTCACATACTATTGAACTCGCTTGTGTCAGCGATAAGTAAAATCGAATGTTCTTAAATAAAAGGTCAATAGAAATGAAATAACATAATATAAAACAATTGTCGACAGAACTCGTGACTGAACTCAGCATATCTTTTTCCAGCAGGTCAAAATTAAATGTGATCTTTTTCGCATGCAGCTGAGTTATATAGTTCCTGATACTTCTTAGAAATAGTTCTGGCATTTTTACCCCAAAAATTAAAATTAACAAAACGGTCTGCTAACTTCCCGTAGCAGACTAGTTAGCAGCAAATCGAAAACAAATGTGCGTTCTTTTTGCATGCAGTTGACTTCTATAGTTCTTGATACTATTTAGAAATAGTTCTGGTGTTCCTACCCGAAAAATGACAATCAACAAAATGGTCTATTAAGTTTCTGTATCAGATTAGCTAGCAGCAAATCGAAAACTAATGAGAGTTCAATTCGCATGCAGCTAAGTTATACAGTTCCTGATAGTTTTTAGAAATAGTTCTAACGTTTTTATTTTAAAAATTACAATTAACAAAATGGTCTGCTAACTTCCCGTAGCAGACCAGTTAGCAGCAAATCGAAAACAAATATGAGTTCTTTTCGCCAGCAGCTTAATTCTATAGTTCCTGATACTTTTTAGGAATAGTTCTGGCGTTTTTACTTCAATAATTACAATTTACAAAACGGTCTGCTTAATTTCCGTAGCAGACCAGTTAGCAGTAAATCGAAAACAATCGTGAATTCTTTTCGCATGCAGCTGAGTTCTATACTTCCTGATACTTTTTATAAATAGTTCTGGCGTTTTTACTCTAAAAATAACAATTAACAAAACGGTCTGCTAAATTCCCTTTGCAGACCAGTTAGCAGCAATTCGCAGACAAATGTGAGTTCTTTTCGCATGCAGCTGAATTCTATAGTTCCTAATATTTTTAAAAATAGATCTGGTGTTTTTGCCCGAAAAGCAAATCGAAAACAAATGTGAGTTATTTTCGCATGCAGCTGAGTTCTAAAGTTCCTGATACTTTTTAGAATCAGTTCTGGCGTTTTTACCTCTAAAAATGTCAATTAACGAAACGATCTGCTTACTTCCCGTAGCAGGTCACATTGATGACTAACTAGACGGTTCCAGGCCCCACGGATTATTTACATCGGTTTCAAAATAATTTATCAAATGATGAACGAAGGATCGATGAAAGGTGAAAGAGTTCTGGGCTTTGAAAGTATTTGAAACGACTAAACTTTACGTTTTCACATGACTAACTGGCACTCGAACGTGAGTTCTGGACTCCAATCGACTTCTAAATTGCAGTTCTCATAAGAATATGTTAAAAGCGAAATAGTTCCAGCCAAAATAATTGTTTGAACCGATTAAAATAATATACTTTTTAGTAAGAAACAAAAATAATTTTGCAGAGAAAACGTTAAAAGAGTCGAAACTATAAATATTACCGTTTCAAATAGTTTCAATGGCTAGAACTCTTTCGCCTTTCATCGATCCTTTGGTCATCATTTAAAAAATTGATTTGAAACCGATGTGAATTATCCGTGGGGCCTGGAACCGTCTGGTTAGTCACCAATATGATATGCTTCGGGAAGTAAGCAGATCGTTTCGTTAATTGACATTGTTCGAGGTAAAAACGCCAGAACTATCTTTGAACAGTATCGGGAACTGCAGAACTCAACTGCATGCGAAAAGAACTCACATTTGCGTTCGATTTACCGCTAACTGATCTGCTACGGGAAGTTAGCAGGCCATTTTGTTCATTGTCATTTTTTGGGTTATAACTCCTAAACTATTTCTAAAAAGTATTAGGAACTATAGAACTCAGCTACATGCGAAAACTCACATTCGCTTTCGATATGCTGCAAAATGATATGCTACGGGAAGTAAGTAGGAATTTTTAGCGTAAAAACACCAGAACTATTTCTAAAAAGTATCAGGAACTATAGAACTCTGTTGCATGTGAATAGAACTCGCATTTAATATTGATCTTCTAGAAAATGATCTGTCAAATTCACTTACATGACACAATTGCCGACTAAAGAAGACGAAATGTCAAAATTACCTTTGAAGAATGTGAAAATAGAGCGTTTGTTAAGTGGGTGACAAAAACAGTCGCTTGATTAGCAAATTTCAACCGACTTCAAAAAAGGATTTACCTCTAGCGTTGTCGATTACGTTGCATCTCGTTTCAGCTACCTGAAACCAAAATTAGAATTATAAGCCTTTAATACTTATTTTTTTATGTTAAAAGAGTGGCAAACAACAGCATGGCCCACCTGACAGTAATTAGCACTACAACTTTAGTACCGGAGTATTAGGCACCTCGCGTACTAGAGGGCCGCGGCCAAGACTACGTCCAGCGGCCGTAACGACCAGATTGAGTTAAGAAACTATATGAACGTCTTGCACTTGGACGCAACGGCCACCTGGCCGCACAACGGGTTAACAGGACTTGTCTTGCGGCCAAATTACGTATAGTTTGCTAAGAGCTTCGCATACTAGATTTGCGACCGCAACTGCGGCCAAGCCACGAGCAGCCATTCTCAGTGTCGTGTCTTGTGGACAGCTGGCGAGTGACAAGCTTCGTATTGTTCCGCAACTCAATACGATGACGTTTTACCTGCAATAGGATTTGATTGGCCAACCGTATCTTCTGCGACTCAAAGTTACGGCCACGGCTTCGACTGGCCGTGGTCGTGAAGGTGCCTTACTCACGTTGCCTACCCTGACCATATCTCCAATCCCATGGAGAGCTGGGACCTCCGGATTTTAAAATCTGCGATGGCTTGGATGTTGTTTCTGGATTCAAAAATTCAGAAACATACTTAGCTAAACAATACTTTTATCTAAATTGAAAAATATTGCAGATGAAATAAATATTTATGTAAATTAGTACCTTTATATCTTAGGTTTCTTAGATTCCATCTATCTCTTTTTCTTATGCAAAAATATGAGGAGGTCGATGGCGCAGGTGGTTAGCGCGTTCGGCTGCGGTCATTGGATGGGTGGCCAAAAATCTTCTATCTCGAGTTCCTCCATGCTTCGGAAGGCATGTTAAGCCGTTGGTCCCAGCTGCATCTGCAGTCGTTAGCACCCGCCAATCCGCACTGGGCCCGCGTGGAGGGTCATGGCCCAATCTTCCTATTCCATCCATAGGGAAGGCCTGTGCCCCAGCAGTGGGGACATTAATAGGCTGATGATGATGATGATGATGCAAAAATATATCAAAAGTTTATTGAACTTCTAATCTTAATGTAATTTTTCTTCAATTTGCTATTTAATGATTTACGTGTTGAAACGATGATCATAACTGTCACATTAATATTTTGTGTCGACAGTTTTCACAGATTACATCGGTCGTAACCATCGATATTGGATCTAGTCTGAAAAACCAAAACCTAAAAAAAATCATCCGCTTTACATATTAACTCCAGCTATATCCATCCTCTGCGATGTTGCCATCAATAAAGGAATTCAATCTGCTGTTGACAGCTACAAAAAACGACCACCGATCTAACTAAAAAATGGTTTCCCTTTTTGTGTGGAAAACTGATTCTATGTTATCTTTTCGAATTTCTTTGTAGACAAATGGAATTGATTGTAAAACACAAGAAGTTCAAGGTTTTTTTTAATATGCAAAGTTAAAATAGAAATAAATTAAAGAAAAAAAAATCAAAAGACGTTTATCAACATCAGTATTTCTGTACTTGGAAGTATTAAAATCTGCATATTAACTATTAATAATAATCAAAAATTATTTATCCAATATTTTTTAATTTTCAGTAATAAACAGATAATAGTAACAACGCATCTAAAATCAAGTAGTTAACTTGGGCGAAACCTCAAAAAATTACATAAAAGATAAATGATCATTAACACGTTTATGAATTTGAGCATTGTTACTCGTACCTAAAATAAAAAAAAAATGGGTGCGTGTACTTATGTAGGCGCGTGAGAAGTTATCCTTCTTTGGCATCGTTTAAAATTAGTTTTTAATTGCATGCAAATAATTAATTGCAATAAATTAATAAAAAGTCTGGAAAGTTCAGTTTTAATTTGAAAAAATAAATAAATAATCAAAATATTCAATTAAAATCGCTACTGAATATAATTTATTAGAACATATGTGATTTGCACTTGTATGAAACTCAAACACGTATTCCGAATATACAAACTAGAAACATGTGGATAAATATTATAAATATGAATACCTATAACTGTTACTTTATTACAAAAAATAAAGATGTAGTTTTTGGTTCTACTACACCAATGGTCAAGAGATGGCGCTGTAGTCTCCTGAATCGCGCTTTGGTTCCGTTGTTCCAGATTAATAAATACTTTTGATATTATAAATATGAATACCTATAACTGTTACTTTATTACAAAAAATAAAGATGTGGTTTTTGGTTCTACTACACCAATGGTCAAGAGATGGCGCTGTAGTCTCCTGAATCGCGCTTTGGTTCCGTTGTTCCAGATTAATAAATACTTTTGATAGGCCTTCACGATGCAGTCGTTAGCACCCACTAAATAGAGTTTCTATTTCTATTTTGTTGGTAGATTTTCTTAATGTGCGGTAAACACAAAAGTAACGCATGAAGTTGGTCGCTAAAGCGACCAACTTCATGCTGTTAAAATTTTGTGTTACAGTGCTGCGCGCGCATCTTAAAATTTCACTCTCATCAATTTTTCATAACGCGCCTAAAGAAGTATAACTTCAAAAAAAAATCCTCCAAAACTGATTTTTTTTTCAACTGCTTTAGAGCTCTATCTTGTTTGATAAGTCAAAAGTCTTGTTTGACAGCAAGCGTACATTGAGACACTAGTGGTTCAGTCAAGCTACTAGACGCAGCCATCAATCGAATAATGAGAAATCGAAATGTGGCGAAATGCCCGCCACTAGTAGCTTAGCGGCGGCCAGTTGATAGACAAAAAAAACACTAACAATCAACGTTTAACATTTTAATTTTCATATTACAAATTATAATATGAATTGTTCTGATTTAATAAAACAGTAACATAATAGGTTACGGAGTAGGCAATTACATATAGAATGGATGAAATTAGGTTTTGATAAAGGTGAAGCTACTAACAATAATTTAATAATCCCAAAATTAAATCATGTGGGTCAAAATTAAATCATGACTTAGGAACTTTATCATCTATGATTTCAAGTTAAATTTTGTTCGAAGATTTTAACTTAATGAAGAAAGAGTGAGTCCCAAACTATTTCGCACAACCTATTACCCTAAATGGTCATAACGATTCTAAACAGTGGCATCTGCTCCAATCCATTATTCCCAGTGCTGCAGAAATCCTTGGAGCCTCGTGAAAAATCTTTGTCACAGACAATTAAGTACGATGACGGAAATTAATTCCTGCTCAATGACAAATGTTGTACCAGGGAAAAATGCCCGGTACAAACTCTCGTATTTTAGATGATTAGATCTTGTCTAAAAAATCATAATTGCAAATGTGTTTAATAAAATTTTGCTGATGTTTATTTGTTTTTTTTGGTAGCACATTATGCATAATTATGTATACCGAAAAAGTGTACAACAAGTTTACGTATGTTGATTTTAATCTATCAGATTTACAACATTTTCATTATACATAACCTACAGCAAAACATTTTTAACTTGTTTTATGATCAAATATATATTTAATATATTTCATAATAATTTTGAATTCCGCTTCTCCAAACGTTATAATTTAGTTTGTATTTATATTGTTCATTTATATAAGAGCATCTAATGAATACTTTCTATTGAAAAAATCGTTTACTACACCATTTACGCGTTCTACATAAGAATTACAAGTTTGATCCTCATTGCAATATGTGCCGTCTTCACTGTAATCGTCACCATATTTTAATCCTGCCATTTTAATGGCCTCTTCGGGTAAAGCAGTAATTATCTTCATTGAGACGAGTGCTTCTATCAATCCAAGAACGGAATAGTCTTTTAAATCTTGCAAGAAAACGTGCTCTGGATAAAAATCGTTTGGCTCTAAATTAAATTGACGTAGAATTGCGGACAGATTATTGTAGTACAAATTGACCATTCGGTCGTAGTGTGCAGACAGGAATTGTTGATCTGTCGACATGTACAAATAATAGGAGAGGTCTGTGACCGGTGATGCGTATCTTGTCAGTTGATTGTCGATAAACATTATGTCCACGGGATTTTCTTTCTGAAATGTACAATGTAATTAGAGTTATTATCTTGTTTGTGATAAGGTAAAAACCATGACCACGGATACACATGCACTTCGAATGTCGTAACTCTTAAAGGTAAAAGAGGAAGTGTTTGGAAATTCATATATTTATTCATATATCTTTGCGGGATTGAGACGATGAAATAGATAAAGTTGTTAATGTGACCGGACCGGAGGAATTTTCGTGTGATTCCAATAGTGGGCGGTTAATGCCATCTATAATAGTTTTCATACAAAACGAAATTAAATACTATTAAATATATTGAATTAATTTACCTGGAATTTGTACATAACATTGTTATTCCAACAATCACCGTGACATATAACAAGATGCTTCCTCCTGATGGGCATAGCACTTTTGTTGAGTATTTGAAGAATATATGAAGCATAGTGTTTCAATAGTTTCTTTGCTTTTTCATCTTTTACAACATTCACTGATGCATCATAATATGTTATCATGGATTTAGGTATTAATTTCACGTCCGAATATTGGAGGTCATTACTGCATGCTTTTCTTATCTCCTCAAATTCCACCGGTTGATATTTTTCGAAAACAAACGATAAAGCATGCAGTTTCGCCAAATTTTTCATCACAAGCGAAACGTGGTCTAAGCCCAGGGTAGCTAATCTGTCATGTAATCGAAATCCTTGCGCGTACGGACTTGCGAACACTAGGACTTCCTCATTCCATTCAGCGCTAGCATAATAACAATTAGGGAATTTTATTTTCAAACCTTCAATGAGTCTGAAACTTCGTTGTATTTCGAGATAACTCGGAACAATTTTGTTAAAGAACAATACTTCACGTTTGTACGCTTCCCTAAACAGAGATCTTCTTTTTGGGTCACAGTGCCACTTTATTATATAATTCCATCGTACCCTTTGTCCGTCCCTGTATCCTTTTAGGCTTACTTTATAGTAACCGTCAGTATTACTGTCAACATCATCACTACCAAAATGAATGACATGCTCGAAATTTGTAATATTACACGTAGCGGACACTTTGTGAATTATATTTATTAGTTCAGGTGAAGCACGTGAGATTTTTCTGTGTGGCATTTTCTGTTCTTAAAGTACGTTACTACACGATTAGGTTATCGCAATCACTGAATCACCACGTCGATAAAAATCTGTGTATGAAGGTACAATAATATGATTGACTTTATCTTTTGACAGCACTGTTTGTGAGTTTATGACATATTTATCTTTTCCACTTGTTGGTTTGGAAAATATATTCAATGCTAGATCAGCGTGCTATATATTCGCAAATTCGTCGTATAGTTTGAAAATTCTTGTATACGCGTCCGTACAATTTCATCTCCAACTTTTTCCTCTCTTATCTCCAATCATAGTTGAGAACACCGACATACAGAGCAGAATGGCAGATGACAATTCCCAGTACCTACTCTTATCAAGAAACGCAACCGTACAAGCCACACAACGAGTAACGCAGCGCTTTAGCGGTATCAGCGCGGAACCACTCGACGTCTACAAATAGATATGAGATAAACTAGGTCTGGTTCTCCGACAATGCCTTTTGTAAGTATTTCAATAGCCGTCCTGCCTGCAGACGCACGTAATACGTACCTAAGTAAACATGTGTGGTATGACCGGTTTTATGCATTCAGTCTCTCTTTGTGCCCATTGTCGCCGTCTTTTTGGTCATTGAATAATCTCGGAATATGCGCTATTGGACTGACCGTTGTGAGAGATCGAGTGTTCAATAATTCTATTGTAGTGGTGGTATTAATACGGCTCAATGATTTAGATTCATCGCGGTCTTTATTGTGCGCTTTTTCCTAGTGTATTTCACACAATAAATCTTATATTGGCTCGATTTTATGTTAACGTACATTACGGTTAAATAATGTAGTTCTAGCTAGAACAAGTCAGAATGTGACTCAATGAAAGTTATGTCCAAACTTTATAGATTTTTTTATTGAATTCAATTTCATTCTAGTCAATGTTTTTTCCGGTCCAAAAGTTACATATTTTCCTTTAAACTTTTATGAAAGCGCCCTTTAATTAATTTAATATAACGAGGTTTCTAAACATGAAATGCTCTCTGATTTAATTTACGATACGAAGAAATGAACAATCTTTTGTTTAGAGATCTTTTGTTTGTTCGCCTTTGAATCGACGCTGCAAAATATATAGGTATACTGTACCCCCCTTATTAATAAACGAAGAATAAGCTTAGATTAGTTACTCCATGTTTTGTCTCTGTTCATCGTAAGACATATGGCATTTGAGAGTTATGAATAAAACATGGCGTTACTAGTCTAAGCTTATTCCTCGTTTATTAATAAGGGTACGAGTATATAGCTAATCGAAACAGCCAGTCGGAGCACATTGACATCAGGTGAACCTTGTTTGAGTATTCGTTAGTAGCCAACTGCCTCGGGCTCTGTGAATTATTTACCCGGACACACAAACAAAACACAAGCTCCACGCCGCCGCCTGGTCCCTTTTGCATGCCATTTAAAAGGAGAAAACTGCTGTAAAACATAAACATAGTTATATATACCATTTCGCAGCAAACTTTGAAACACATAGTTGAGTAAATAATACAACTTGTTACCTACATCCGTGACCTACGTTAAGTTAATGTTAACTTATAAACTGTTACAATATAAATATGTACAAACATGGCCGAAATCAGCACGGTTATTCAAGTTTGTCATTGGCGTGGATTAGCGGGCGAAGAGATGTTAATTCAACGAAATATGACTTCTTGAAGGTTTTAACCAATTGCTGCTGCACAAAATAGTTCGCAAGCACAAAGATGATACTCGATTTAAAATAACGTCCACTGAGCACGTAGCCATGCGCGCGCCTTCTGTCACACGTCAACCATAAACTGTCATACGTGACAAGACGTCCACCTCTCTAGAGATCTATTTTCGTTCAAAAACAAATTATTAGTGTCGCAATTTAACAGATGCGTCATCAAATATGTTTTATATAAACTATTACAAATATCGCATTCTACATTCTACAAAAAATTCGGTTAATTCAACCTAAAATACAAAACTCAACCTCGAAAAAATTTCGACGCATCCTGTTGTTATGCCCTTGCAAGTTTACATATGAACAAAATATTCAGCATGGTAAAAAATGTTCATAAAATAATTTTATTAATAATTAAGGTTCACTTTCATCAACAGTCTATCCTAGTCCACTGCTGGACATACGCCTCTCGAATTGCACGCCACTCATATCGATCTTGGGCTACTCGCATCCAGCTCCTGCTAGCCACCTTGCGCAAATCGTCACTCCATCGTGTCTGAGGACGTCCTACACTACGTTTGCCTAGACGCGGTCTCCACTCCAGAACTCGTCTACCCCCACGGTTATCGGTTCTTCGGCAAATATGGCCAGCCCACTGCCTCTTTAAATTGCTATTTCGGTGGGCTATGTTGATAACTCTAGTTCTCTGTCGGATTACCTCATTTCTGATGCGATCCTTCATAGAAACGCCGAGCATAGCCCTTTTCATAGCGCGCTGAGCGACTTTGAACTTGTGGACCAGTCGTACCGTCAGTGTCCACGTCTCGGCTCCGTATGTCATCACAGGTAGGACGCACTGATAGAAGACTTTCGTCTTTTACTTGCTACCCTTATGCTGCGTTGCACATAATCTCGTACCCTCTTCCCTGCGGATCCGAACCACATTTTCGAGGTTTCGGTTTACGTCTGATGTGGTTTCCACAGCAGCAAATCGGTTCTCCAGATTTGACTGCAACGTTTCAGATCCTGTTATAGATTGGAGCAGAGTAGATCGGAGCCTGGATTTCATCAAACGGACGCGATCAGCCTAAAATTTGATATTCCGAGAGCCCCGGACGAGTCGGTGATTGAACCTGTTGATCACGGAGACGTCTTTGAATATGTACCTCTTGTCCGTCATGATGAAATCGATCTCATTTTTAGTCATAGTATTGGGGCTTTGCCACGTCCACTTCCTTTGGAGCTGTTTCTTGAAGAAAGAGTTCATCAAGAAGAGCCCTTCCACTTCGAAGAAGTTGATAATTCTGTACTCCCACTTCAGCGTAGAAGTCCCCCATAACAACGTTGTAGTAGGTCTTAGTAGTGAAGTGGAGGGCCCTCGATATATCATCGAACATATCCTCCACTTCGTCGTCCGAGTGTGTCGAGGTCGGTACGTACACTTGCACCACCTTGAGGCTATACCCCTCGGTGAGCTTTATAATAAAGTACACTACCCTGCTCGACATGCTGGACATTTCTACAACATTATCGGCAAGGGACTCATTTACCAAATACCCAACGCCACGTTGGGACTGTTGGTCTCCCCCGCGGAAGTACAGGTGGCACGATTCACTTTACAACAAGTTCACTAAGGTTCTTTAAGGTTCAATTTACAAACATTTTAATAAAACATAATAATATAACGCACGTACAGGTAGTATGTACGTGAAGTTCTATTTTAATTATGTGAGCAGCTCAATTCGAAGCGATTAATTTAAAAAGCTTTTTGACAGCTCCTATATATACTAACTATATTTACTAACGTATTATTTATCTAATCATCAACAGAGATTAGCTCAGGTTTTTTTAAGGAAATAATTCCAAAATTAGTATTCGCATCACAGTGAAAGCAAAGCGATAATTTAAAAAGTTTTTTGACAGCTCCTAACCTTCTCAGTGCGTGCCAATTTAAATGTCGTTATATATACTAACTTATTATTTATCTAATCATCAACAGAGATTAGCTCAGGTTTTTTTAAGGAAATAATTCCAAAATTAGTATTCGCATCACAGTGAACACTCCTTAAGTTTACTTAACATATTACTTATGTTTTATTGTGAAGGAAATAATCCCAAGAACCATTCTCATCACAGTCAACACTACCACCTTACCATAAATTAAGATAATTAAATGTGTATTTTCATTAATGTGATAATTCCAAAGGGTATTTGCATTATGTTTAACTTTGCACCATTTATTCAATGTATTACCTCTGTAATTTTGAAGTACGTAAAGGAAACAGCCCCATTGTGCTGTTCGCATCACATAACATGTCATAGGAATATAGTTTAGAAGATAGTTTATTGTGAAAATGGTAATAAATGCCCAAGTAACAATCATTGTGTTCTGTTCGCAGCAGTGTTAACAATCTATAATTTTCATTACAAGATGTAAATATATTTTTGGAAAATGAAATTTCTATCGGGCAATTAGATACTTGATATTTCTTAATTTTTGCCTTGAACTGGCATTTGAAAAGTTTTATAATGATGAACCTGTGAGTATGATTTCAACCAACTTCTTTTTGGTTTTTACTTACCATCTCGCGCAAATCTCTAACATTTAGGTATTTGAAGTCCTGTGTACAGTTTTTTAAACATAAAGTATGCAAAAAGTATTATTATCATTTAAAGCTCAAATAAATAAAAAACATTATGCCGGTCGTAGCAAGAAAACAGATAATGACATTCAAGTTGGCGCACACTGAGAAGGTTAGGAGCTGTCAAAAAACTTTTTAAATTCTTGCTTTGGAAAATCGTGAGCGTGACTGACTGTGGGTACAAAGGCAGTAACTACATGTAAATTAATCGCGAGAATTGAACGGCGAAGCATAATATGCAAGTTTTGTTGAAATGAAAACTTTTTTGTATAGTTTTTTTTATTATTTTTTTATAAATGAAATCTTCTTGAAGCGCGTAGAACTTTTAAATTGTTTTTTTTGTACATATAGCTTCTTTTTTTGAGTTTTGAGTCTCTATTTCTGTCGGCACTTCTGTAGTGCCACCGCCATTTTTTATTAACCATGCAAATAAAGAGACTTCGGGAAAACAAGTCGGAAATAGCAAAATAGAATTCATATCATTCCGCGAATCAACAACACATTCGTTATTAAGGGCAAAATATTTTCATGCATAACTTAGTAGCTCTGCGTGATATCTCCGTGTAATGTTATTTCAGCGTAAGGGAAACTTGTCTAGACGTGCAGGAAATCAGCTTTCCGTACGAATCACAGTTGACGCCGGTTATCCAGCAAAAATATAAAGTTCAGCATCGGCCGTAAACTCATAATCAAATTAAAAGGGAAAGTTAGGTAAATCGTAAAATAATATTAAGCTTGGGATTTCGTCTGCCTAGCTACAGAATTATTGGTTCCAATAAAAACTTTCACCCATGTTTTGTATTTACCTTTTTTAAGGTCTAATGAAGGTTTGAATTCGACATATAAAGAGTCTCGGCGAAATAAGCAGGACTCTACCATGGCTCTACCCACTAAGAGCATGTGCACAATGAGCCACCAATGGCGGCCACTAAACGCGGCCACCAATCGTCGGCTAATGGCTTAGTGGTGTCCACATGAACGCTTAGTTTGCGCAGATACAAAATATATGAAAACTCGACCACAGCTTGTGGACGCGTTTAATGGCCGCCACTAGTGGCTCAATCTGCGCTTGCTCAAGCCTGTTCAATGCAAATCTAACCCCCCAGGACAACTCGCGGCTTTCGTGTGGAATGGGAGGGTGAGCGTAGTTCTCTTCGTTACTCTCCTGCCCTCCCTTG